CTGGGAAGTGACTGTCAGCGATACCCTCGGCGCCAGATATTACAGAAGCATCATGGGAACTTCGTCCTGTGCTATAAAGGCAGTGCCTTTCCTAGCCTGCATCAGTGGGCACGGTGGCACCGCAGAAGCTATGTCACTTGTAACTCGTCTTCTGTTCCTTGAACAGGTGCTGTTCATCTGTGCATCGCCGTCGTCTGCGTATCCCTGCGCAGTCAACACGTGTATCGCCATACCAGGTGCTATTATGGCCCTTCTCGACTGGAAGGCGACTGTCAGCGATACTTTCGGCGCCAGATACTATGGAAGCATCATGGGAACTTCGTTCTGTGCTATAAAGGCAGTGCCTTTCCCAGCCTGCATCAGTGGGCACGGTGGCACCGCAGAAGCCATGAAAACCTGTAACTCATCTTCTCTTGCTCGAACAGGTTAGTTTCTATTCATACTATGGTTACAAGATCGACGATCGCTTCATTATTGTGCTGTCGTGCCCCGAAGTGCTTTTCTTGTCATTTGCTTCCCTGTGTCTGTTGCTATCTGGTGACATTGAAACAAATTCAGGTCCTAATACACCAGCGCTTTTGAAGGAGCTGCCTGAAGGTCAACTGACTATCAAAAGTGATTTATCTGCATTGAGCGAGAAAATAAAACAAGTTCAGAAAGCGGTTCAGCTTGTTAAAGATCAAGGCAAAGTGATAGCAGAGTTGAATAAGACAAACAAAACTTTGAGCGCGACTATGAAAATGCTGCACGATAGGCTTGCGTTCGTGATGATGTCTCCTGATAAATTTTGGCGTCACATGTCAGACAATAATGACCAGTCACTCAGCATTATAGTGGATAACATTCTGGTTACTGACTCTGACATGTCAGAAAATATGACCAGTCACTCAGCATTATAGTGGATAACATTCTAATTACTGACCCTGCGAAGATTGCTTTTTCTTACAACGAATTCTTTCAGTCGATGTTTTCAACTCCATCACAGTCTATTGTGAAATTCACTTTGTCTTCATTGTTTCATTCGGAAAGAATGCCAGATGTCGAAGTCTCATATAAGGAAATTGTAGCCCTGCTACTGAGTATGAACGTAAAAAATTCTGTAGGCCCCGATGACATACCGAACGAATTTCTCCACAGAATGCGGAATGGGTTGCTCATTACTTAGAGGCTATATTTGATGCGTCACTCGCAGAATGCTGAATCTCTGATGATTGGCTTAAAGGCTAAAGTTAGACCTGTACATAAATCTGGTGATAAGTGGGTAATTGAAAACTATAGTCCAATATCGCTGACCTGCAAGTGCTGCAAGCTCCTGGAGCACGTTGTATACAAGTAAATTGCCGCGGACATCGAAAATGCCAACAAATTTTTTCCCTACCAACATGGACTCAGACAATACCTTCCCACAACAGCACAGCTTCTTGAAACACTTAATGACTTTGCCTTGAACTTAGACGAAAAGAAAGAGATAGATGCCATATGTCTTGATCTGTCGAAAGCATTCGATAGAGTGCTACATACAGAATTGCTCGTGAATCTAAGAGTTATGGGAATAAATGAGGAAATGGTGAAATGGATAACCGCATACATTAAAGGCAGAACACAATACGTAGAATAAAACATATTAAATAAAGACCATTGAACATGACGGCAGGTGTTAAGGGGTCTGTGTTAGGCCCGGTGCTATTCTTGGTTTATATTATTCATATTTCCTCTGAAATAGACGTAAGAATCACGGTGCGACTTATCCCTGATGATTGTCTTCTGTACAAAGAAATTAATAGCCCGGAAGATCAACAATTGCTCAGTGATGCTCTAAGGGCAGTAGAAAAATGGTGCCACAAATGGAAAATGAAAATAAATGAGAATAAAACTGTATTATTACATGTAACGAATAAAGTAAATAATATCGTTGACTTCAATTACACCTTGAATTCATCGGTACATTCTACTGTTGATGTGCTGAAATACTTAGGCGTAAACATTTCCAAGAATTTAAGCTGGCCCTATCATGTTTCAAAAGTATGTGAAACTGCAGAAAAAAAACTCTGGTTCTCGCAAAAAAAACTGCATTGATCCTCGCAGTCAGTTAAGCTAACTGCTTATTTAACCTATGTACAGCCCACGCTGGAATATGCCAGCATAATCTGGGACCTTTATTAGTCAGGTTTGATTCTAAGACTGGAAGGAGTTCCAACGCTGAGCTGCAAGGTTCATCCTATCAAAATACTCTCGTACAGATTCTGTCCCCGAAATGCTCAATTCGCTCAACTTGCCCACGCTTGCTGAACCCAGCCGCATAGCAAGGCTCAAGTTTTTTTAATATTTCACTAAAAACAAATTTAACATCAATAGTTACCAGTACTTGAAAGCACTGCAAAGAGAGAAAGAGAGTACCTTCGAAGTGTCTCAGATGCACATAAACAGCTACGTGTTTTCTTTCTTCCCAAGAACCATAACAGAATGGAATTAATTGCTGCTACTAACTTGATATAGCACCAGTACAGATTAGTTTCAGAATAGCCTCGCACAAAATTAAGGAAATATACGCATGTACTCATGTTCCATCTGTGGATGACTCAGTGATTATTCTTAAGCATTCCGTCTTCATTTTTGTGTCATGTATGTACGGAATATTTTCCTTATGTCCAGCTGCGTATCCTTGTACGTAGTGCTCGGTTATGGTTTGCACCACTGCTGGCGGACTTCGCTTGTATGGTGTAGTGAAATTTTATCAACCTATCAACGAACTATTATCTTCTGTATGCCTACGTTTGTTTCATTTATTGGTTTCTGTTCTTGTTTTATTGTTACCGATGTATTTTTTCTTTGTTCTTTTAAGTGCCTTTCGTAATTTATTACGTAATGTATGTTTTGCATAGTGCTACTTTTGACCCACCCTCTGACGGCCGACAGGCCAACAGTATGAGTAAATAAAAATATCCATAAGTTCTTGCACAACCTCAAGAAAGTCGCGGCCAGGCACGGCGTACCGATGGTGTTTTCCGCACCCGAAAAAATCGGAAGACTGTGCCAACGTGTGTGCGATAGCAAAAAGCGCAGCTGCGAGAAGCATGAGAGTTCCTTTGTTAAGTGTTCAACAGGGGTCATGTGCTCCATACCCTTATCCTGCGGAAAAGTGAACATTGGCCAAATTGAACGATGTATTATTGACCGGTTAAGGGAACATGCCCAAAAATTAACAAAACGAGATGACAAGTACGCACACCTGGTTGTGCATGTCATCTCGTGTGGTTGTGACGCACAATTCTTCGAGACGAAGATTCTAGGCAGAAGCGCAAGTAACACTGCACGTGAAGTGTTAGAGGCCTTTTTCATTGAAAAAAATAAAGATCACTGTGTAAGCGCCCATTTGCTATCATTGTTACCAAGCAAATTCCAGCTTATCGCTTTTAGGCTCTGACATTGATTAACTGTATATATTGATAATGTATGCTGTTGGCCTTCTATAGTGTTAGTGTGCACATGTGTCCTATGTATATATTCAAGCCTTCAAGCTATGAATAAATCAGTTGGAAGTGAGTGCTGTGCGTGTTTGATGCCTGGGTGTGCGCGTGTGTGAATGATTGCGTCGTGTGTTCGCGCTCGAATAAACTTTTAGAAATGTTGTACCAACTAGCCCAACAACAAGTTCTTTTACGAAGAATGTTTTGAGTGTTGGACGATAGAATGTTTCATTGTAAACAAATGCTTCAGCACTACTCTTCATGTGATAATTTTGTGTATGGGTTTGTGCAGAGTGGCTGCAAATTCACTTTCTTGGAGTATAACAGAAAACAAGTTTCGTGCAATACTTGTATGCTGAACAACACACTAAATAACTATGATGTATACCTAACTCTGTCCACGTCATGGAAAGGTGTGTTTGCCCTACAAATTAATGTTTCCGAACCTGTCGCATGTGTGGGCATGTGAATTTGAGCAGAAATCATGTTGATTTCACCTTACTGCCCATAGTTTTTTTTTTTTTGCCGATTAGGCAAGGAACGAAATCGAATTTGTATCTCTGCAGACAGTGGCATAGAGCTAACTTTTAGACAGCTGGTCTGCTGTGTGAATATATTAAATCGATATGACTTTTATGAGATGCATGTAACATGTTACTTCGTATTTTGCAGCAACGCTCCTCCGTTGGTCACAGGTGAATGGCACAGATGCATCAGCTGCAGCATGATACTTCGGGACTGCATAAAAGCTGAGCGGAGCAAGGATTTGCATTGTATGTGCAACCACAGTGCTGGTTCAAGTCGGCTACACCACAGCAATTGCTTATTGGTCGGTGTAACGTTTATTTTGTAGTATCAATAAATCATGATCATCTACACTTAACATGGAATCCTTTGGAGCGTTTGAAGTGCTTAGAATGAGAATTATTTGCACGTTGAAGATTATTTAAGCTAGCTGGAGCGCATGTACAATTAGGCAACAATGGGTAATGGGGCCTGCTCTCGAGTCGGAATATTTTTCCAATTGGAAAAGCCTTCCCAACTAGTCCTACAAAAAGAATTGCTCTATCACAAAAAGAATTAGAATTTCTTCAGAACGTTGCCACACGTTTTGTTCATGGTGCATTATCACGATGATTACTCGGGTGTTAGGTGAATGCTGTTTTCTTTGAATTATATTTTCCCTTTTTTGTCAGATACTGCTCAAGTATATATTGTGCGGTTCCAGCAAATAAATCTTGTTGTAAGTCAGTGCCGCTGTCTGTCTTCTTCTTTTCTTGTCTCTGGTTATTGGCACTGTTTTTTATGTGAATCATGTGGAACCAAATCGCCCAAGCAACCACGTTAGCTAGTCCCAGTAGCCAACTGGGAATGTATTCCCAACAGAAAATGTACTCGTTAAACCAGTGGAACTGGAACCAGTTGGCTTCACAATTACAAATTTTCACCTGGGCATACATGATTATGCCAGCATTTCCCAGAATAGCAATCATGAGATAATTGTGTATATCGATCAGATAAAAAAATGCTCACCGGCAAAGTAGTACTCCTTTTTCTTCCTAAACTTTGAAACCAGGATGTGCGCAAAGACGTAGAGGATAAGGAAAAATAAAGCGTGAATCTGAAACAAAGAGCAGATAAGCATGTCACACCTAAACATCGAGAAAGGACACCACTGCGAGCCATGCTCGCTGGGCTACGACACATCAAGTACGGGGCGGGAACTGAACGCATGCACACAACCAAAGAGGGTGAAATCAAAAGAATAACGCCGGGCACACAGCGATGTGCTTGAATACCAAAGTAGTTGCTCAGTTGACACGCACCAGTATTTCACGGATCGCATTGTGAAAGAGGCGCTCCCTGGCATCGGTGTCATTCTCCATTCTTCATGCAGGATTAAATAAACCTAAATGGCAGCAGTCTCTCGCAGTGAGCGAGTTGAAAGCACACATGTTTGCAAGAGTATTTTGCCCCGGCCAAACTTCGGCGCGCGGTTGTGAACCACAGGAAGGCACCGGCACAAACTTCGGCACTAGGCAACGCGACGCGTGCGTTGGAGCAGTCTGACCGCGCGGCGTTTACAATGTTCGCTTTGACGTTTTGGAGCACTCGAGTGCGCCTGTGAGTGCGCTCTCGCGAGCGGTGGGTTGAAAGTAGAGGCACAGAACACTGGTGTGCGCCGAGGCGGTTTCGACTAGCGGCGGCGTGGAGGTCGTTCCGAGTCGGCAGCGGCGGCGTCGTCGGCGCACGGCCACTTTTCATTGTCGGTGGCGGCGCCGGCGGCGTAGAAACCAAAACTACCATTAAAAAAAAATACTTTACTGTGTTTTTTCTGCCTATTTAGTTGAAACTCACTACTTTTAACAGTAATGCCTAAGAGAACAGCTTGAAGATGCAAGAGAACTGGCAAAAGTTCCGTAAATGTTTTGTTTTCGAGCATACAAATTGAACATGTTCTTTCAGTGCACCCCGTTTGTTCACATAGCTAACACAGTATCACAAGGAATTTCATTTCTCTTTACTATCACAGCGATACTGTTATATCTGCTAGGTAATTTTCTCTATTAACTTACACTTTATGTTGTTTTTGCTTCCAAGTAACTGCTAGTCTTTTATTTATTGGGAATGGAAGCACTGCAGCCGGAATGGAAGCACTACAGCCGTCAACATGTTTCAAACACCGTTCCTTTGTTGGGTGCAGGTGAGTACAGCAGTAATAGCAGTATTTGTAGCGGTTGAACTCCTTGTATCTTCACGAACAAATAGACACCACTCTGACCCTCCTAGAACCAAAATTGCTAAAGTTATAGGTAGATGTGCAGAACTCACTTACCCGTGTTGCTGACGCGGCCGCTCCCCTGGGGAGCGGCCGCTACAAATACTGCTATTACTAACGAAAATTTCAAATTTTAGGAGCGGAAAACAGGGTGAATCTTTCAAAACAACAACAGTCAGACCACGTGTTTTTTTTTTTTACGATCGCTTGTAGCTTCGTTATTATGGTACCGGGAACTTCTTACTTATAAAGTTGAAAGTCCTTAGGGTAGACCTGACGCTGCTGTAGTTTGATTAGGCTAGGTTTAATAGTTCCAGAGTTATTCCCCAATCAAAATTAAGCCTAATCACTAAAAAGAATAAATTGGTAATACCACCTCGCAAACGCATTTAAATTTTGTCCGCTTAATATAATAATAAACAGCACCCCATAGGCTACCATGCGCCCCAATTCTATACACTCTAGGCCCTTAATTAAGGTGGTAATCAGCAAAGTGCTCATTTCATTAAAACAATTTTTCAAAAGGAGCTACAAACGCCACCGAAAAATAGCTAATACCCTCTTTTAGAACACAACAGTCCGTTTTTTTTTTTTTTCGTGTAAAAATAATTTTGATAGCTTAAGGTAACCGGAAGATACGGAGTTAGAAAGAATTTAACGAGAACTGCTAATAAACGTGTGGCGCCCGCGTCTTCCCTCGCTCAGAGGGGGAGGGTGGCTCACTGCTCGGGAGAAAGGTACGCCCGTCAGATCAAAGTCTTGAACCACGTGTTTTTTTTTCCCCTTACGATCGCTTATAACTTTGGTAATAACCTACCGGGAAACTTCTAACTCATAGAGTGCAAAGCCCTAGTTGTAGACCTGTCCCTGCTCAAGTTTCTTCAAGATAGGAGTAATAGTGCCGGAACTATTTCGTGACCAAAATTAAGCCTAATCACTAAAAAGATTAATTTGGTAACATCACCTCACAAACGAATTTAAATTTTGTCCGCTTAATATATTAATAAACAGCACCCCATAGGTTAAGCGGAGGCCCAACTCCGTAATCTCTAGGCCCTTAATTAAGGGGGTATTCAGCAGAAATCTCATTTCATTAAAACATTTTTATAAAGATAACCACAAACTTGACTGATACACCGCTGAAACCTACCTTTAAAACATAACAATCCGTTTCTTCTTGTGAAAAAAGTATTTCGATAGGTTTAGCCAATTAGAAGGTATGCAGTTAGAAAGAATTTAAAGAGAAATGCTAATACAATAATAGGGCAAGCTGCGATGGCGTAGTGGTTAGAGCATCCGCCTCGCATGCAAGAGGTCGGCGGCTCAAATCCCGGTGCCGCGCAGTTCCCAGCCGGATTTTAAAAAATTAAAATTCCGCGGGTTGATGGAACTGCATTAAGAGGCCTGGGGTGCGGCCTCACCGGTAACCACCGCCGGGAACGCACTCCCTCACCAGAGAAGGATTGGCCACCCTGGTGCAGTATCTGGCCACTACCTCCCACGTGCATACGTCAAATAACTCGCGGCCCTCAGTCCCCAGCAGCTGCGAAGCAACTGACCACGGCGGCGGTCAGATCTGCAACGCAGCAGAGGGTGCTAAGAATCTCTGGATCCGAACAGGCCGCCATTGGAACCTGAACTTGGCAACGTTTAACGCTAGAACCTTATCTAGTGAGGGAAGTTTAGCTGTACTATTCGAGAAGCTAGAAGGTGTTAAATGGGATATAATAGGGCTCAGTGAGGTTAGGAGGACAGATGAGGCCTATACGGTGCTACAGAATGGGCACGTCCTTTGCTATCAGGGCTTGGCAGACAGAAGAGAACTGATAGTGAGGCTCCTAATTCACAGAAACATAGCTGACAACATAGAGAAATACTATAGCATTAATGAGAGGGTGGTAGGTATCGTAATTAAACTGAATAATAGATACAAGATGAAGGTAGTACAGGCTTCCGCGCCTACAACCAGCCATGATAACGCTTCAGTTGAAAGCTTCTATGAAGACGTGGAATCGGCAATGAGTAAAGTAAAAACACAGTATACTATAGTAATTGGCGATATTAATGCAAAGGCAGGAAAGAAGCAGGCTGGAGACCAGGCAGTAGGAGATTATGGCATCGGTACTAGAAACGCCAGAGGAGAGCTACTGGTAGAATTCGCAGAACGCAATAATTAACGGATTTTGAATACCTTCTACCGAAAAAGAGAAAACCGCAAGTGGACATGGAGGAGCCCCAATGGCGAAAATAAGAACGAAATAGACTTTATAATGAGTGCGCACCCAGGAATCGTGCAGGATGTGGAAGTGGTTGGCAAGGTACGATGCAGTGACCATACAATGGTACGGTCTCGAATTCGCCTAGACTTGAAAAAGGAACGACAGAAACTGATACGCAAGAAGCCAATCAATGAGCTAGCACTGAGAGGGAAAGTACAGGAATTCAGAGTGTCGCTGCAGAACAGGTACTCGGCTCTTAGTGGGGAAACCAACCTTAGCGTAGATACAATGAATGATAATCTGACGAGTATCCTTACGGAGTGTGCAGTGGAAGTTGGAGGCAGGGTAGTTAGACAGGACACTGGCAAGCTTTCCCAGGAAACGAAGAACCTAATTAAGAAGCGTCAAATCATGAAAGTGTCAAGTACAACAGACAAAATAGAACTGGCAGAGCTTTCGAAGTTGAGTAATAGACGTAAGGTATGCGATGTAAGAAGGTATAACATGGAGAGAATTGAACACGCTCTGAAAAACGGAGGAAGCGTCAAAGCTGTGAAGAGAAAACTTGAGATAGGCAAAAGTCGGATGTATGCACTAAGGGACAAAGAAGGCAAAATAACTACCAATATGGATAGGATAGTTAAAATAGCGGAGGAGTTTTACAGAGATCTGTACAGTAGCCGAGACAACCACGACCTTAATACCATAAGAACTAGCAGTAACCCAGATGACACCCCACCAATAATGATAGAAGAAGTCAGAAAAGCTTTGGAGAGCATGCAAAGAGGCAAAGCTGCTGGTGAGGATCACGTAACATCAGATCTGCTGAAAGATGGAGGACAGATTGTGTTAAAAAAACTAGCTACCCTGTTTACGAGGTGTCTCCTGACGGGAAGAGTACCAGAGTCTTGGAATAACGCTAACATCATCCTAATACATAAGAAAGGAGATGACAAGGACTTGAAGAATTATACCCCTGTCACACGGCCACCACTAAACTCCGTTGAACACCGTCAACGTAAATCTCCCCTAGGTGGTTCGACGGAGAAGGAGTTGTGGCTGTGCCACACGACAATGAAAAGGTTGTAACAGTTGGCGCGAGGGGGCTCAGCTGGCGCTCTTTGATTTTCGGAAAAATATTCTAATTTCATCTCTATTGATTTTTTTGTGAATCCTCGTTCTAGGGTTTTTACAAAAAACCACTATTAAGGGGATAAGAGGCTAACAGACCATAAAAATATTTTCAAAGAAAAACAAATTCGCTAAATGTTGCGATGCTGCTAGTGACGCTGGCCACATTGTGATTTTAGTTGTTTTGTTGCCTGTGTTCATGTTTGTGTCGAAAGTTCTTGTGCTTCCTTGCCTCGTGAGCGCACATTTGGTGTTCTTCAGCCAAGAGTGACACAGTGACGACCACAACCACACGCATGGACGAAATATTTTTCAATGGCGCCGGCCAGCCCGACTCGCGAGGCACCACGTGCGAGGCACGGAGTGTAGAGCATTGGTGTTGACAGTAAGTGAACTCTTGCGGGCGTAAATATATGTAAACAAACACGCGTTGTGAATGAGTACTGCAACGAAAGAACGTTTAAGATTGCCAAAATGTATTATTCTTTCACTGCAGCCACTTAGTGCTCGAAATTTTTCTCTGACCTCTAGACTGCTGGGGACGAGAGTACCTCGTTTCGCTGCGAAGGGAGATCGTTGAACGTCCTTTGCGAAACGCTCCGTTTACCTTCGTTTGGGTAAGGGTGGCCGTGTGACACGGACCGCATCTTCGTTGTCCTAAGGACGAGGGAGTTAAACGGTCTTCGCGGGTGTCCGTGTAACAGGGGTATGACAGGCCGATCAGCTTGCTCTCTGTAGTATACAAGCTATTTAGTTTCAGTTTCAGTTTTATTGAGCATTTTCTTCACAGAGTTGCGAAAAAGAAAACGCAAGGATAAGAGCAAAAAGCTGCTATGTTAGCAGCTTGACGAGGCTCCTACCCCTTTTCACTTGGCATTACAAGAAAATCAGCAGAGCACAAAACATGAAAAAACAATTTGATGTCGATTTTCAAAACTTCAAGAAATTAGGAATTAAAAAGAAAATGCATCAAAATTACACCAGTTTCAGGTTTACATAAGATAAGAAAACCACAAAGAGAGAAAAAGAACAAAAAACAAAAGAAAACAGCGTGCGTTCAATCATGAAACAATGCACACGTTGCTAAACGGCTA